GGGGCATGGGCAGGCTCAGGAAGGACCAGGGCGCTCTCCTGCTCAGGCTTCATCCTCCAGGACCAGGGCCTGTGCCCCATCCGTGCTCCTCTGGGCCCTGCACTTCCTTTATTGCATCGAGTCACCTTGCATCCCAACTGCCTGTTACTTGTCTTCCCCGAGGAGCACAGCCTGGAGGCTGTGTGTTCACAGCTGTGGCCCCAAACAGCTGGCACGTCCTCGCTAGTACTCAGATAATGAAGGAAGCTTAGAGAGGACATGGAGGACAGCTCATAGGGCTTTCTGAGTCCCTTGCCCTGAACCTGGGGTCCCAGGGCCCTGCCAAACCCAGAGTGTTCTGTGATGTAGCAGCTGAGCTGCTGCAGAGCCCTGAGGCTTTACAGATGTCACACCTGGGGGTGCGGCTGGCCCTAGGCACGGGGGACAGTATCTGGCTGCCCACAGAACCCTGCTCAGCTATCCTGCCCCGAAGGCAGTGATCACCTGGGAGGCAAGTCCGAGCTGCAGGTGCAGCCCGTTCAAAGGCAGAGAGAGAACACAGGGAATTTGCCACCCTGCACGTAGGTCAGTAGGGCTGGGGTGCAGGGTGGGGCAGGGAGAGGCCTCCCGCTCCTTTCTGTCCCCAAGCATCAGTCATGGAGGAGGGCCGGGCCGGGCTGGGCTGGGCTCCCTCACAGAGCAGGGTTGGTCAGGGGCTTCTGAGCGAGAGGCTGTTCTCTCCGAGCAGTGTCGCAGCTACTGCCACTCCTGTGTCAGCAGGGGCAGCCACGGACCCCTCCTTCCCTGGGGCCTGAACAAGGGTCCAGCTTGACCCCGGACCTCATGCACTTGCTTTGCCTGTCTTAATATGTTTCCTTTTACGTCTAAGACGAGTCATGAGCAACACTGATTCTCCTAAGTGCTCTCAGGGTGGTTTCATGAGACCATACGTGTGAGTTGCTGGTGCAAGAGTGTCCAGGGGAGGCCAGTGGGAGGCCGAGCCCCCACCCACTCCCTGTCTGCCCCACAGGCGCGGGCCCAGGCCGAGGCTCTCCGCATCAGTGATGTGCATTTCTCTGTCAAGCCGAGTGCCAGCGCCTCCTCGCCCAAGCTGCACTCCAGCGCCGCCGTGCACCGGCTCAAGAAGGACATCCGCCGCTGCCACCGCATGTCCCGCCGCCCCCTGCCCCGCCCAGACCCCCAGGGGGGCAGCCCTGGCCTGCGCCCTCCCATCTCGCCTTTCTCTGAAACCGTGCGCATCATCAATCGCAAGGTGAAGCCGCGGGAGCCCAAACGGAACCGCATCATCTTGAACCTGAAGGTCATCGACAAGGGCACAGGTGGCGGGGGCTCCGGGCAGGGGGCTGGAAACCTCGCCCGCCCCAAAGTCCCCTCGAGGAACCGTGTCATCGGCAAGAGCAAGAAGTTCAGCGAGAGCATCCTGCGCACGCAGATCCGCCACATGAAGTTTGGGGCCTTCGCTCTGTACAATAAGCCTCCACCTGGCCCCGTGTCACCCCCGCCAACTGGCAAGGCCGACATTGCTGCCTCCACGGCCCCAGGGCTGCTCCTGGCAGCCCCTGCTACTCCCTACGATGCCCGAAGCTCCAGCTCCTCCACCTGCCCCTCGCCAGCACCACAGCCCTCCGACCCTGACGACGTGCCCCCCAAGCTGCTCCCGGAGACCGTGAGCCCATCTGCCCCCGACTGGCGGGAGCCCGAGGTGCTCGACCTGTCCATCTCTCCAGAGACGGCAGCCACCAGCAAGCAGGCATCTCCCGACGTCACTGCTGCTGCCAGCCAGGCACTTACCATGGCCCCCGATCCTGCTGGCACCTCCTCCGAGCCCGGGGACTGGCGCCCCGAGATGTCACCCTGCTCCAATGTGGTCGTCACTGATGTCACCAGCAACCTCCTGACGGTCACTATCAAGGAATTCTGCAACCCTGAGGATTTCGAGAAGGTGGCTGCTGGGGTGGCAGGTGCTGCAGGTGGGGTTGGCAGCTGTGGAGCAAGCAAGTGAGGGGGCTCCACCAAGAAGGGGACTTTGGAGGGAAGCACCCCTTTCCAAAGTCATACTCTTGTTCCTGTCCCCGCCCTCACACACCTGCCTGTGCTTCGCTTGTTTCAGATGGCTTGGTGTTGACCCCGGGATGGGGTTGGGCAGTTGGAGCCCCCTAAAGCCCAGTGGGGGTCAGTCTGGACCGGATTAGGGCTGAGGTGGGGCGAGGGCACTGGGAAGTCCTCCCTTGTCTCTTGGCACCCTTCCTGCCCATGCACAGTGGGGCCCACCGAGTGGCTCCTGGGGTTCAGCTGCCCCTTCCACATCCCGCCCTGTTTCCCCCCAGCTTGCTTCCGGCTCTCGTGCACAGCATCTGGTTTCTCGGTGCTACCCGGGCAGCTGCAGGCCCCGTAGGAGCCCCTCCCAGCGCGGGCACCGTCCCTCTCCTTCCTCCAGCTGCCTGGGCAGGAGGGGCAGGGATGGCAGAGCCCAGGCAGGTGGAGGTGAGGCCCGCCACGCCCCTTCCTCCACGTCGACAAGGTGGCAGGGCCTAGAGGTACGGGTCTTCCCGTCCACTCTTGGAGGAGACCCAAGCAGCCCCCCTGAGGCCCCACCCCACCCCATCTCTTTACTAATCCCTGTCTGGACGGTAGGAAGAGCTGGCAGGGATCCTAACCTGCCACAGCCTCCCGGCATCTAAAGGCCCCTTCAGTTCTTGACCAAAGGTGCTACAAGAACCTGCTGTGGAAACTTCCAGCTGTGCGTGTGCGTCTGCCACCCCCTGGCGTGTTCGTGTGTGTGTGTCCGTCTGTGCATTGGACACTCAGTCCAGGCTCTCCAGGCGACACCCTTTAGGGTCCTCGGAATAGGGTCCCTGGAGGCCTGGACCTTCCCTTGTGGTCACCTGGGCCTGCGGAGGCCACCGGATCGGTCCTCCAGGCCCAGGTGTGCCGGGGCATGCCGCACCCCCACACCCTTCCCCTTTGGGGTGGTCATTCTGACCCGCTGGGCCTTCAGTGGCTGCTCACATGGCATGGTGGGCAATGAAGTAGAGAAAGGAGACCCCCGCCCCAGGCTTCCCGTTCTTCCTGGGTGTTTTGAGGGAAGGCGGAAGCTTGGAAACTTCCTGAGGGTCTCTGGCTCCTCTCGCCCCCTCTCTTTCGCTTCCCAGGGCCGAGGCCTCTTCACAGCCCAGCCTGCTCGAAGCAGCGGAAGGGCTCGGCCGTCCTGGGCAGCTTCGCTTTCCCTCCACTGCCAGGAGCTGAGGCATCCATGCCAGTGACAGAGACCAAAGCCCCAGGTTTAGGCTGGGCACTGGGAGGGTGGGAGGCCAGAGTGGGGGCACTGCAGAGCAGCCCGTGTTCTTCAGGGGAGCACAGGGCTGCAGTGCCTGCGCCTGCTGCACCGTGGGAGGCAGCGTTGGGCGGGGGGCGGGGGGGGGCAGTCCTGGGCCGCTGTCCCCGGCAGTGGGGCATGAGCGGTGTGTCCCCGTGCGAGGCGCAGCGGAGCTCCCTGGTGTGTGCAGCAACAGGCGTCTCGGTTCTGAAGCATGATGACAGATGGTAGGAGGAGGCAGCAAGGGGGTCCAGTTAGGGAACAAATGCCTTTGTCCTAAGCGTGGAAGGACTCTTCTTCCAAACCTCCCACCAGGGGCTGCAGCCTGGCCCCTGTCCCTCCCCACCCTAGGATGTAGAACAAGGGCCCTCACAGTGTTTGGGGGGCTGGCACTCCCGGACCCCTCCCCACCTGCCCTTTGTGTTGGCTCTGTGGCCGTCCAAGTGCCAATTGGCTTCCCCCCAAATAAGGGCTGGTGTTTCTCCTCTGTCCTTAGAGGTGATCCTCCCTACCCCGACCCCTCACCCCAGGTGAGCGACCACCTGGATGCCAGTTACAGGTGTTTCCAGAGACCATAGAAATGTGTTTTCCTGAGAGTCTGTGTCATTCGTGACTTTTTTTGTAAAGAAGTTGTGTTTTCAGAGGTGATTTTATGACAGGAAAGTGAAAGAATTAGTTTTGCAAAAAACAAAAAAAAAAGAGGAAAAAAAAATACTGTGGGATTCCTATGGGGTGGGGGGGGGTGGGGAGAAAGATATTTAAAGAAAAACTAGTAACGCAGTGATTGCACAGGTGAGGTGGCAATGTTAGGGACAGGCATGGAGGCCCAGGCCCGGCTGGCGGGTCCCCAGGGTTGTGGCCGGCTGTCTTCCTTGTGCAAGACAGAGTGAGCCCTCCCTCCTGTCCTGGGCCTAGACTTCACACCTGTCCTCGCTCAAAGGAAAGGATGACAGCCGGTTCCAAGGGAACTAGCCAGAAGCTGCAGGGGCTCAAGCAGATGGAGCTGAGATTTGGGGAGGTGGGGTCAGCGGGGGTCCCACTGTCAGTGACTCCAGGAAGGCTGGTGAGTGGGTGCAGTTGGGTTTCTGGCTGTCCTTCGTTCTTTTGGCAGCTTGTTGGGCCATCTGGTCCTTACTACCGCCACTCCGTGGGGGACATCTCCCTCCCCATCACCCCGAAGACCATAACCCCCCTGAGCTTCCCTGGCCAGATAGGAAATGCAGGCTTCAGGAAGACAGGAGCTGTGGACTCTGGGAGAATCTTAGGTGGCGACCAGGAAGGGCTGGCGGTAACCGTAGGGAGAAGGGAGTGCCTGCCTCTCTTTCCACGGGCTGGCGGGTTGTGCCCCCACCCCCCAGACGTGCAGACCCCACCCTGCCTCAGTGCGTGTAGAGGGCACGCGTGCACACTGCTCTGAGGCAGACAGCTCCCCAGAGGGCCAAGGGCGTGGGGTCAAGAGCAATCAGCCCTCCTTACCTCTCCTAGGGCGGCTTGGAATGGGAGCCCAGAAGCCTCCGCCCCACACACTCTTGCACGGTCAGCCTCCCGTGGGCCCTTTCCCCTTGCTGCTTTTCCGTTTGCCTAATTACCAAGCAGAAGTTGCAGTCCGGTTTGCTTTATTTTTGTATGTGAAATATCCCCATAGCCCTGTCTCCCGTGTTCATTATTGGTTGGGGCATTGTTCATCCCCGCTTAATGCCACCCCTCCGTACCCATGTGTCATAGGAAGCAGGTGAGGTCTGGTGTCTGAGACGAGAAAAGACCCATCCCTGTCTCGGTCTCCCCTCTGACCCTCAGTTCGCCCCCTCTGAAGTGGGTGTATCGGGTGGCAAGGCCTCTTCGTTCAGCGCTGCTGCTGTCCGGGCAGCTGCCGAGGATTAGGTGGTGGTGGGGATGGCTGGCGCGGGGCCTCCAGACCCCCACAGCCTCCCATAGCCCCCTTTCTCATCCTGCAAAGAGGACAGGGTCAAAATGAGCTCCATCCTTCCACTGCTCTGGAAAGAGGTGACGACCAAGTCCCCAGCCTCAGCGTGAGGTGGGCAGAGTGGGAGGGGTCACCCCATTTAAGATAAGGAAACTTGACCCTGAGAGGCAGAGCTGCTTCGCTGGGGTGAAGAGCCCACCCAGCTGCTCTGGCCTGTGACCTTTTTAAAGTCCCTTTAAGAGGTGGGGCCCAGGGCCCTGGAGTTACCACAAAGCTGGCAGGCCACCCCTGAGCCAGGCATTCCTTGGTCAGGGGTCAGTCCAGAGTAGGGAACAGTGGTGGGGGGAGGGGGTGTGTGCTGGCACCAGCCTTTCTAGCCTCTGTGGGGACCCAAGTGAACGTACCACCTTTCCCACCTTTTTGGGTTTTGGGGGTTATTTTTGTTTTTTTGTTGGTGGTGGTTTTTTTTGTTTTTTTGGTTTTTTTTTTTGCACTTGGCCCATGCCAGACAGTGGAGCCTATTGGTTCCACTTTTGGGCTCCCATGCACTAGCCCAAGGCAGCCTCTTGGAGGCTTGTATGGTTTAAGGAATCACTTTTAAAAAGAAGAAAAAAAGTGTTTAAGGGTTTTTGTTTTTTCTCTGTCTGTATCTCCTCTCAGATTCAGAGAGCCCAAAATTAGGGGCTAAAACTCCACGAGAGTCTCCCCAGCTTGACCCATCTTGCCAGATGGGACAGGTTAGGTGAAGACTGAGGACCCCACCTTCCAGGCCTGCAGGGTCCTCCCCACCCCGAAGGAGTCAGCACCCCACTCCCAACAGTGAGCGAGCGCCTACTGTGTGCAGTGCTTCCACTAGGCAAAAGGGCTGATGGTCTAACGGGGGACCCTTCGCAAGAGGCCAGGGTGGAAGGAACGAGGCGTTTGGGCCGGCCCCTGCTGTTGGCCGGAGTGCAGATGGAGACTTCTTTTTGTTGATTTTAATTTAAAAACACAAAGGCCTAAAGAAATGTATCTTATAATTTTTTTAATTTTTGAAAAGCTCATTTAGTGAATTGTGCACGAATGAATTCTATATATATAAAATATACATATATAGCTCTATATTTGGGGAGGGCACTGTCTGTTTTCTCTTTCTCATTTTAAAAATGAAGTGTCGTTGCCTTTGTCTGTGGTTCAACCATCCAGCTCCCAGCTGGCTAAACTTCGCCTCCAGTGGTTAAAGATAGGAAGCTAGGTCGGCAGGAAAGGAAGTGGACAGGCCGCCCCAGCCTGAGGAGGTCCCCGTCCCCAGAGACTGCGGGTGGAAAAGACGGCTTGTTTCGCGTGTGGGTTTTGGTTCTGTTCTGGATTCGGTTCGTTTCCGGGCCGGGGGAGGGGGGTTCGTGCCGATTACTCTCGTCTTGTATGTTTTGTTCTGCTGCTCTTCAATATTGTATCAATGCCAGGAAGGGGGAGTAAGAAGCTTCTTTTGCCCCCCAATAAATTGTCACATTCCGAAGCTAAGGCCTAGCCCCTGGGCCAAGGATGTGTGTTTCATTTCTTGCGCCTGTGACTGTGGTCTGTAGAAGGCACGAGGCCCTGCCTCTCCGCCGTGGCCAGCCAGTGCTCCCGCCCTTCCAGGCTCCCACCTCCCACCCCCTCCAGCCTACAGCCTGTGAGTGAGCTGAGCCGGTGGCCCACCACAGGCGAAACTGCAATGCTTCCCACCTCCCAGGACCTCGGGGATACCCACAGTGCCTGCTCCTCAGTTGGAATCACAGCATCCACAGAGTTAGGGGCTGAGGGTCCGGAGCCCCGACAAGCTTGTCACACCAGAGCCTGGGAAAGAGCAGCCCGGGGTGCAGGACACGGGCAGCCCTTGCCAGCGGTTCCTCAATTTGGTTCAATGTTTTGATAATAAGGAGCCGCTTCCATTTTGGAGAAATGTGTTTTCTGGGCACTGTGTGTCTTCTGTAATTAGACACGCAGCCTTGAGCCCTCTCCCCTGCAGGGTGCCCACGGGGCTTCAAAAGCAGCACCCCTGCACACTGCCAGCTGCACCTCTACATCCATGGCCGCACATTTTCCAGGCCTCCCCTTCCTCAGCCCCCCATCCCCTTAGCCTGGCACCTTGTGTCTCCCCAACCCCTACCCCCGCTGGTCTGCCTTGTTCTCTGCAGAGCCCCCTGGTCCACCAGGCTCCATCTTGCCTTCACCACCCCCCTGCCTCTTCCACACCAGCGCCACGGGGCTCTGGCATCCTGCCCGAAGCCTTCAGAGCTCACTGCCCTCAGGACCTTGTCCCAAGTCCCAGCCCGGCAGCCTTCCCTGGGGTGCCTTCCCCCGCTACCCCCCCCCACACAGTCTCTCCAGGTGCTCTCCCTCTGCCTGCAGTGGCCTCCTTGGCGCTGACCTGTGGTCCCTCGCTGTCCCTAAGTTGCCAGCAGGACAAATGGGAGGATGTCCCTGTCTGCAACTGGTCCTACACATGAGCCACAGAAGCCCGGCAAGTAGGTGGGAAGGTGGGCGAGGGGGGTTGGACTCCGGTGTGAACTCAGGACTGGCCCTCGTCCGTGACACCTGTTCCATGTCACCCCTCCCTTCCTGCCTCCACCTAGTCATCTTGCCTGGCTGTTCTCCACAAATCCTCATTCAGTACTAAAACCAAACAAACAAACAAAACAAGTCAGCAAGCACCAAGGAGCACTTCAGCTGTCTCCCCTCAGCCCCCTCCAACCCCCACCCCACCCCGCCCCCCTCACCCCTGTTACCCCCCCACCAGTGCCCAGTGAGGTGTGAAGTGATGAGCCGGTGTCCTGGGGGTTAGCGAGCTGAAGCAATCGATCAGTTCGTCTGCCCCAGGGGGCACTGCTCTGGCAGTAGGGTGGGGCTTCCCTGTGGGCCATCTTCGTGCCCCCCAAACCCCAAGCCCTGGGATCAAGAACACAGGGACTGCCCCTCCAGGCAAGTGTGTTCTGAGGGCAGAGTCACTGCTGTGTCTTAGCACTTACTAAGCAGCTACATCTGCTTTTTGGTTGCGGGTGAATGAGTGTGACCATGGCAGCTCAAGGGTTTGTGACAAGGGCTGGGCAAAGTCATGCCCAACAGCCCATCTGAGATGAGTCGGCCAGGTACACGCGGCTGCTGCTGGTTGTCTCAGGGTCTGTCTGCCAGGCAGTGCCTGATCTGGCCCCCACCCCTTACCTCACCCTACTCCTGGGCCTCGCCAGGGCACAGGTCAGCTGTGGGGTGAAGCTCAGCATTGGGGCAGGTAGGGCATGGGGGTCGGGAGGTGGTGAGAATGACAATTTTGTGAAGTTACTCGGTCACTTTTTTAGAAGCCGAAAATTCTGTCCTTGTCAGGCTGTGCCTAAAGTGACCAAGAGGGGTCAGAATGGTTGCGTCCAAATGCCAAGCCCCCTCGAGCCAGATCACAAGCTCGTATGCCCATTCCGCCCATTCTTTGTTCAGGCTGCTGGTTTCTAAGTTCATACTTCAAAAAGCCCACTGGCCTGAGAGGCCAAGGAGCAAGGACGCCTGATCGCAGCAGTGGGGACATGAAGGAAGCTGCAGGTGACCCCCCCTGGCCTCTAGACATCCATGCACTCTGAGTATCTGAGTCAGAGGAGGTACAAAGGGATAAGACTTGAAATAACCCTGGTGAGAGGTAATGAGGCCTGGGGCTGAGGCAGTGGGGATGACAGGAAGTGGCCAGAATCAGGAGATGCTTAGAATATTGAGGATTTGATGGTTGGCTCTGAGTGCTTGTGAGAGAGGCCCTCTAGAAACTTCCTGGGGATCTGGCGTAGGTGAAGGAGTGGGTTGGCAATGGTCATGGGCTGGGACACCTGGCAGAGGAGTCAGCTTGGGAGGAAGATGAGTTCAGTTTGGGACAAGTCAGTGTGAATCAGAGAGCCTGGGAGGGATTCTCACCCATGGGTTTTAGGCTCAGGGCGAGTTCCTGCCCACCCAGGCATTGCTGGAGAAATCTGTCCCTTCGTTGAAGAGTCTTGGTCGCTCGACTCAGATGACTGACTGGTCTCCAGACATCCTGGAAGGACCATTAGGGACTTAGGTGCTTAGCTCCAGAGGCCACTGAGATATCTGGCCCCACCCTCCCAAGCTCATACCTTTTTCTGGGTGAGGTTGTGAGTGATACGTGGCTGGGAGACGATGTGTCCCATCAGACAGATGAGGTAGGGCAGGGTAGGGCTGAGGGCTTCCCAGGGTCACTGAGAGACAGAAGGAGTGGAACCTAAGTTTCAAGCATGGTAGATGGTACGTTCTAAAGAGCCTGTTGCAAGATAGTCCTTTGAGACGCTACATAAAATATAACAGACATTCTTTTAAATACCCAGCCGAGCTTCCAAGATAGTAAAGAAATTCCCAAGGACCACAAACAAAGTGGAAGACAAAATTAGAGTGACAAGCAGATGGGTCTGCTGGGGGTTCTGTGGGTGTCATGGGGACAGGGCTGGGGAGGTGTTGCTGGCCTTTGCGGATCGTGAGAACCAAGGAGCTTGGATTTGACATCTATATGGGAATTTAAGACAAGGCCTTGGGCCCTTGCCAAAAGAGATTTGGATCTAAGACACCTGAATAAAGCTGGACCCATATCCTCAATGAAAGAGCGAATGAGAAAAATTAGCCTTCCTACAAAAGGAAGAAGAAGTCGTCAGAGAAGTTGTGAAGTTGTGTGTCTTATTTTTTGTCTCTTGGAAAAATTAAAATGAAGTCTCTTTTAAGAAATTTTAACTCTAGACCTTCCCTAATACAAATTCAAGGTTTGAATTTGCATTACCCACGTGGTCTCAGAACTCTCAAGTCTGGAAATTAACATAAAAAGCAAATGTGGGGTTACACCCACAGAGCATGTGGCAGCAGCGAATACAAACCTCTCTGGAGGGACAGTCCCACAGTAAAAGCCACACGGATTCTCACAGATAAAACCCTCATAAACATGAGCTCACAATCCAAAATTACGAAACATACGAAGATGCAAGCCACAAAGACAAACGGCAGAACAACAAACAGTACATGTGGAATCCTGCACCTGATAACATTATTTTCAGGTGTGCGATGATGATTTCCAAAAATTATCACATATCATGTAGTAGGACATAATGCAAGTCCCAATAAATTTCAAGAAATTGGCATCGCTCCATTTTTAAAGTTAAAAATCAAAACCTCGTATATTTGGACAGTAACCCAGATCTCCCTTTCTTCTTCATTTTGCTCCCTCCTCAACTTTCTGAACTCTCTAGAACAGTGAGACCCAAGGATGGATGTGAAGTACTAATAGACGGCAGACACAGGATGGGCACAGCTAATTGGAGTCGAAGCTGGATGGGAACAGATCCCCCTCTGGTCCCTCTACACGGGATGCAACCTTCATTACAGCAAAAGACCAAAGTCTTTTCTGTCTTTTCCAAAGGATGAGCCCAGAGTGTGACAATGGCATGAGCCTCCATTTAAAGGACGGCCGCCAGCAATCAGCCTTTATGAGCCAGAGGGTCTGGGAGACATCTGTGCAGAGCCAAGGTGAGCTGATGGAAGTGAGACAAAGCCAGGTGGCCGGGGTTCTCGGTGCTGTGACATAAAGACAAGCCCCCTGCCAAACTTCCCCTGCCTACCTTGCCTCATGGTCTGATCCCAGCACGAGCAACATGCTCTTGTGGATGGATTTGGAGATCCCTGAGGTTCTGTTAAGGCTTGATATTCCCATCTGTGAGCAAGGAAATGGGACACACTTTGAAAAAGGCAAATGTGGACTCTGTTCTCCGTGGGGACTCATTAAAGTGATCTTAATCTCACTGGCTCCCTTGGCATTCCCTGCAGGTACTCGGGGCTCAGCTTCCATGCAGTGGCTTCCTAGCGGAGGTTTGCTGCCTTCATCATCCCTGACCCTCTTCCCAGTGCCCATCCGCCCACCTGCCTGCCTGTCACAACTCAGACACCAGAAAGAGACCCTTGTCCAGGTTCAGGTGCCGGGTTTGAGGCTGCTCGGTCACATCCCCTCTTCAGGCCTCAGTGCTCCTCAGCAGTGAAGGAGGCCAGTACCCCCTACTCGGCCAGGTTACATGGGAGGACTGAAAGCGATGGGCGTGAAAGGTTTTGTCCCAGCGCCATGTGGGTAAGGAGAGACATCTTCCAGATCTATGTATCTCATTTTTTTTTTTTTAAGCAAGCAGTTCTTGGTTGACCTCACAGATTGCAAGGACCTTGTCAGCTTACAATCCTTTATTTTCTTATACTTTACGCCTACAGCACCTGGTCTTCCTAGGTAGTCTCCCATCCAAGTATTAAACAGGCCCGACCTTGCTTAGCTTCCAAGATCAGACGGGATCGGGCTTGTTCAGGGTAGCATGGCTGTAGACCAGATCTATGTGTCTAGACTGGACCACTCTGACTTCCGGTCTGGGTGTTCCAGCTGTCTGCTCACCATTTCTTGATGCTTTCTTCCCATGAAACAGCTTGTCGGTAGTAGAAAACACTGCAGTTCAAGCTTTGCCGGCTGTG